ATCACTTGAGGCCAGGAGTTCAGGATCATCCGGGGTAACACAGTGAAATCCGTCTCTACTAAAAATAGAAAAAACTAGCTGGGCATGGTGGTGCACGCACATAATCCCAGCTACTCAGGAGGCCGAGGCATGAGAATCGCTTGAACCCAGGAGCTAGAGGCTGCAGTGTGCTAAGAGCTCACCAGTGCAGTCCAGCCTGGGTGACAGAGCAAGACCCTGTCTAAAAAATAATAATCAATAAAATAGAAAAAAAATAAATAAAAGAAAGAAAGAAAACTGGAGCTCCGGTCTCCTGGGTGACAGCTGGGTTCCTCGATTCAAAATTTTGTCCTGACACTAGCAGCAAGACCTTGGCCAACCTACTTAAACTTCATGTATCTCAGTCTCATAATTTGTCACATGTGCACCCAATCACACCTGTTTCATAGTGTTTCTGTGAGGAGTCAATAAGCTAATACATCTAAGGCTTTAGGAGGGTACATGACAATGGCATAATGCAACAAATGTTAACCACTGTTTTTTCCGAACAGCCTGAAGATAGAGCTTATCCCAGTCTGGGGGAGACTTTTCCCTTCCCCTTAAGCTCAGAATGCTTAACTTAAACCTTTGAATTTGATCATTGGACCTTATGCTTCTGCCAGCAAATGGTGGGAACTAATCCCCACAATTATTCTCTTCTCACTACCTTGTTATTTCTTTAAATGCAAGCACTCGTGTATTTATTGATTACTATTGCACTTGTATAAATATCTTAGTTTTTATTCACTCTCTCCTCACAGTTTGTTTTCCCGACTCTGCTACCATTGTGGTTCTGTCTGCAACAATACTCGACTTGTGTCTTCACTAGAGAGGGCCAGAGAAAGAGATAGAATTGTCTTACAGACAATGCTCTTATTGAACATCCCCAAACACTGTGTGTGTGCCTGTTTCTGTTGCTTTGTTGACTCATATCCACCTTGTGGCTTGCCTTCTTTCGTAGACTTTCTTCCCTGTTCCATCTGATCAATGGTTTTCCAGTTTGTGTTTATGGAATGTGTTCCTTCCTCATCCACAAACATCTACCTCCACAACCTCAAAATGCATGTGGGTGTGACTGTCAGTAGCAAACAGTAGAGGCGTTGTGTCTTGGAGCCAACTTATAAGCATAGGAGGTCCTGGGACCTGAGCACTTCGTTTAGTTCCAAATATGAAAAGCTGGTATCTTTGTGGAATGATCTCAAAACTCTCTGGGGTGAGCAAATGGGAAAGGTCGATAGGCAGTTACAGGTTGAACCTGTTTGGTTTCTTTTGGCTGGAGCAAGGTGAGCACAGTTTAGGGTTTGCTTTCTCTGCTCTGAAGTTTCAGAGCTTCCATGGTGAACTTGGAGGTGAACGAGGTAACTGAGGTCAACATTTCGCTCTATCTAAACAGGGGGCTACTTTGTAAGCCAGACCATCAGCCTAGTATTCTAGCCGAGAGAGGAAAGTTCTCCAAAAGTCAGAGATACTTGGGAAAGCATCACCTTCCCTATGCCAACGTACTTAGTAAGCTTAAGAATCACAAACCAGCTCTGTGGAACCCAAAAAAGGCAGCTAACTCTGCTACCAAATATATTTACCAAAATATAAGAGTCTGTCATGTGTCTGTCTGCTCTGGGATCTCTCTGCCTCTGGTTCTTGACACCGATGCTGAGAAGTCTATGTTTTCTTGCCTTTCTTTCCTGTTTCTAGAATTCTTTTGATTATCTTGATTTCCCTTTTTTTCTTTTTTCTTTTTAGATAAGGTCTTGCCCTGTTACCCAGGCTGGAGTGCAGTGGCACAGTCTTGGCTGACTGCAGCCTCAATCTCCCAGGCTCTAGCCATCCTCCTACCTCAGCCTCCTGAGTAGCTGGGACTATAGACACGTGCCGCACACCCAGCTAATTTTGTATTATTTGTTAGATATGAGGTTTCGCCATGTTGCCCAGGCTGGTCTCAAACTTCTGGGCTGAAGCTGTTCTCCTGCCTTGGCTTCCCACAGTGCTGGGATTACACGTGTGAGCTACTGTGCCCTGCCCTTTATCCGCTTTTAAACTTCATATTACCTTCTAATCATTAAAAATGCACATTATGTTCATTTAACATAAGACACATTTAGAATTTTATTGTGCTTTTTTTTTTTTCATTTAGTATATTTTGGGAATTTCTCCATGTAATCAAAATCTTTTGAAAATACAACTCTTGGCTGGGCGTGGGGACTCATGCCTATAATCCCAGCACTTTGGGAGGCCTAGGTGGGCAGATCATCTGAGGTCGGGAGTTCGAGGCTAACATGGAGAAACCCCATCTCTACTAAAAATACAAAATTAGCTGGGCGTGGTAGCGCATGCCTGTAATCCCAGCTACTCGGGAGGCTGAGGCAAAAGAATTGCTTGAAACCGGGAGGCGGAGGTTGTGGTGAACCGAGATGGTGATATTGCACTCCAGCCTGGACAACCAGAGCAAAATTCTGTCTCAAAAGAAAAAAAAGAAGAAAAAAAGAAAAGAAAATATAACTCTTGACAATTATTTAATATCACAACGTGTAGTATAATTGCTTAACCACTCTTTTTTTGACATTTAGATTGTCATTTTTTTTTAAGAGTTGAAGTCTTTGCCTGCCTGTATCAAAACATTTCATGTACCCCATTAAATATATATACCTACATTTACCCCAAAAAATTAAAATTAAAAATAAAAAAAAAATAGAGTCAGGTTTCACTATGTTGCCCAAGCTGGAATCCAACTCCTGGGCTCAAGCAATCCACCCATCTAGCTTCCTGAGTAGCTGGGACTACAGGTGCGTGCTGCCAAGCCTGGCCTGTCACTTTTCGATACTGATCTCATTCAGATGTTGGCTAGCTTTGTCATCTGCATGAGATGACTCTTGGCAAGTCCTCTGCCAGCTATCACGCAAAATCCAATAAAGTCATATTAACAAATTAATGAAATCATGCATTCAGGCATGTCTGTGTTGAAGGCCAGTGGTCTTCACTAATATTCACATCTTCTCTTTTTTTTTTGTTTTTTGTTTTTCTGTTTGACCGTGAGGATACTTATTGAGGGTTTATTGGGTGCAGGGAGAAGGGCTGGATGACTTGGGATGGGAGTAGAGACCCCTCCTCTGGGATCCTGCAGCTCCAGGCCCCCATGGGTGGGGTGAGGGCCGGGGACCTAGGAACATTCTGTGTGGGCCATTGTCTTCTCCATGGTGCTCCCCTTATGCATGGCCCAGCAGCTGTAGCTTCTGCGGGATCTCCACTGTTCAGGCATCAGGCTCAGGTAGCTGCTGGCCGCATACTTGTTGCTCTGTTTGGAAGGCTTAGTGGTCTCCATGTCCTGGGTGATGATGATGCTGTCTGCCTTCCAGGCCACTGTCATGGTGCCCAGGTAGAAGTCACTCATGAGACACACTAGGGTGGCCTTGTTAGCTTGGAGCTCCTCAGAGGAGGGCGGGAACAGAGTACTAAATGAGGAACCTTGGGCTTGCCTAAGACAGTGAGCTGGGTCCTGCTGCCAAACATGTGCAACAGTGAATGATGCTTGGATTGAAACCCATAGGGCCAGAACCTGGGGCCAGTCCAGGAGCTGGGCTGGAGCAGAAACAATCATGGTGGAAGGGGAAACAAACATGTCCTTCTTCACATGGCAGCAGGAGAGAGATTGAGAATTCACATCCTCTTCTAAGGAGACTTCTGCCTCTAATAAGTCCTCCCACACCACTCACAACTGATTGGACCAAGGATGGACACCTGACCCGAGACAGGCCAGATACTGTGGTGTGGGCCAGTGGGAAAAGGTAAACTGGGTGACAAAGAGGAACCATTAGAGTAAGAGGCAGCTACCCTAGGGAGCCAGAGATGAGAACATGCAAAGAAAAGCTTTGAGGGAGAAACCACAGTTGGAGAAAGACTGGAGATTACAACTCCCAACCTGGCTCTGCCAGCTGGTTTTGTCCCTCAGCTTTGTTGAGCTGTAATTGACAAAGAAAAGTTTTATGTGTTTAAGGTATAATGCGATGTTTTGATATACATCATGAAATACATCATGAAATGATTGCCGTAATCAAGCTGATTAACAATACGATCTTACCTCACATAGCTACCATTTGTGTGGTGTGATGAGAACATTTAAGATCCACTCTCTTTGCAGATATCAAGTGTATAATATGGTATTGTCAACCATAGTCAGCAGGCTGTACATAGATCTCCAGAACTTACTCATTTTCTAACGAAACTTCATACCTCTTGACCAATATCTCCCATTTTTCCCACCCCCCAGCCCCTGGCAACCGCTGTTCTACTCCTGGGCTCCTATGAGTTTGACTCTGTTAGATTCCTCATATAAGGGAGATCATGGGACATTTCTGTGTCTGGCCTACTCTACTTAGCATAATATCCTCCAGGTTGTCACAAATGACGGGATTTCTTTCCTTCTTAAACTCCAGTAACACTCCATTGCACATATATACCACATTGTCTTCATCCATTTATTCATCCAGATTTGTACAGGTCGTTTCTGTACCTTGGCTATTGAAACATATACTGCAATAAACATGGGAGTGCAGATATCTCTCTGCGAAACTGCTTTCATTTCCTTTAAATTCTGCCACTTGATTTGAGGAGTTGACTAACTCAAACCTCTGTTCTCAGCTGGGCGCAGTCGCTCACACCTGTAATCCCAGCATTTTGGGAGGCTGAGGCAGGTGGATCACCTGAGGTCTGGAGTTAGAGGCCAGCCTGACCAACATGGAGAAACCCCATCTCTACTAAAAATACAAAATTAGCTGGATGTGGTGGTACATGCCTGTAATTCCAGCTACTCGGGAGACTGAGGCAGGAGAATCGCTTGAACCGGAGGCGGAGGTTGCGGTTGCGGTTGCGGTGAGCCGAGAGTGAGGCATTGCACTCCAGCCTGGGCAACAAGAGCGAAACTCCGTCAAAGAAACCCAAACAGACAAAAAACAAAACCTCTGTTCTCATCTGCGGAAGATTAGAGATAGTGTACATAAAGTATATATAACACAACAGGACCTCACTAAATGGTGGCTATGTTACACATAAAAGTATTTTTTTTAAAAAAGAAAAATACTGAGAAATCTTCTGAAATCATCACTTATAATAAAGAATGGAGTGCACAGAGGAAGTAAAAAATGTATACAACACAAAAGCAAGGTTTTGAGCTCTTAAGACATAGTCTGTTTTAATCACCCGTGTTTATACTCAGTACTTAGCTCAGTGCCTAGCAAATCTTTAAGTGCTCAATACGCGTGTATGAATAGCTTCAAAGCAAGATTTTTCTTTGACTCAGATATGTAGCTGATTGGGCATTTTTACCCATGGAATTGCCCTGTTGTTACTCACTGAGCCCCTTGTATGTGAAACCACTGCAGCAACTCTAATTTCTCTCTGAAAGATTGGCATTTATGAGGTCATTTTCCCTTCAGTCTTTTCCCCTATTCTTATTTATTCCACCATATTTCACAGGCAAGCAAAACAAAAACAAACAAAAGAACTTTCATAAAAGTAACTTCCCACTGTTAACGCCTCTCCGTGAAATCTATGGGGAAGACAGAAAAAGAAAAAGAAGAATCACGAGAGAGACGAAAATGTAAGCCCATGCAAGTTCCCCAAATCTTTAACGGGAGAGACATATCTATGCATATTTAAGTGAAAAGGTTCTGAAAGGACCTGAAAATAACTTAACTGGAGGCAGGATGATCCAGGGGAAGGAAAGAGAATACAGCTAGGGCACATTTCCATACCAAAGAGTGTGAGGTGTGGTAGACATCTGTTGCTTTTGTCCTGTCAACAAAACACTCCTCTTTACGCTGGAGAATTGGTCTTCACAGATCCCATATGATTCCCATGGGCCTGGCTATGGGGTGGGTATACAATCCACCCCCGTCCAGCCACACCACCCCAGCCGTGTTTACACAATGCAATTGGGCTTTGACCCCATCAAGTCCAGTCATATTTCTTTCAAGAAATTTAATATAGGAAATACTGGGAAAGGGAGGGAGAGTCTCACTTTTATACCACGAATTGTAAGTTTATACCCAGGATTGGGACTACCAGCAGCCATCTCTCCTGCCACATGTAATGAACATATTTGTGTCAGGAGACAGTGAGGCCAAATGCAAAAAGAGGCAGAGACAAACATAACCTGAGAGGAAGAGTGAGAAATAGAAACTTGATGACATCATTTGAACACTTGAATGCACCTGTAACTAAAGCCTTTGGTTGAGCAGATTGTAAGGGTAGAAATGAGTTCTAAGTTTCCCAACCCCACCCCACTCCCAAGTCCAGGCTTGGTAAATTGGTAAGAAGGTTTTAAGGAAAGAGAGAAGTTACTCTGCACACACATGGGGGCAGAATTTGGGACTGGGGCCACCATCTAGGAGAGAGGAAACAAGCAACAGAAGGTCACAAACCCTCAAAGCTTAAGGAAGCTGGTGTTAGTTGATTTCTTGTGAAAACCAATTAAAAAAAAAAAAGTTTGAGTTTTATAGCTGTGGGAATATGAAAAGAAACAGGGACAGGATTTAGTGGAAATTGTGAGGTCTATGGTTTGTATAGGTCTTGGAGCTGGCTGGGACTTAACCAGTTATCTAGATCTCAAAGGGCCAAGTGACTTCAGTTAACATCTGAGTCACAGATGTGGAAAGAAACAAGGAAGATTCAGCACATACATAATACGTATTCCCAGGGAAAAACCAACAAAAATGGAACAGAAAATTATTCAAAGATTTCATAGGTGATTCTCCTGAAAGAAGAGATCTAAATCTTCAGGTTGAAACAATGTATGGAGAAAAAACTGATGAGTTCTAACAAGATTAAGACATATCCTGATGAAGTAATTTCAAGGATAAGAAAAAGTCTTGCAAGCATCCAGGCAGAAGAAACCTGTCACCTTTAAAGGGAAAGAATATATATCAGGCAGGCTTTAGACTTCCATCCACAGCAACACTAGAGGAACAAGATAATGGGAAATTTTGAGAAGAAAAAATAGAACACAAGAATTCTTACTTACCCAGGATATCTTTCAATTGTAAAGGCATGGAAAATACATTCTTAAATATGCAAGAACTGGCCAGGCGCAGTGGCTCATGCCTGTAATCCCAGCACCTTGGGAGGCTGCGGCAGGCGGATCATGAGGTCAGGAGTTCGAGACCAGCCTGGCCAATATGGTGAAACCCCGTCTCTACTAAAAATACAAAAATTTAGCCATACGTGGTGGCACGTGCCTGTAGTCCCAGCCACTTGGGAGGCTGAGGCAGAAGAATCGCTTGAACCCAGGAGGCAGAGGCTATGAGCCGAGACTATGCCACTGCACTCCAGCCTAGGTGACAGAGCGAGACTCTGTGTCTCAAAAAAAAAAAAAAAAAAGATGTGTGTATATATATGCGCAAGAACTTTATAATTTTAGCATTAATAAAATCTTCCTGAAAGAATGTATGTGAAACAACAACTGCTGTCTGAAAGAAGAACCAAATTAAAAATTTACTAATGGAGGCTAGGCAAGGTGGCTCATACCTGTAATCCCAGCACCTTGGGAGGTTAAGACAGGAAGATCACTAGAACCAGGAGTTCAAAACCAGTTTGGGCAACATAGGGAGATCCCGTTTTTATGAAAAATCAAAACATTAGCCAAGTGTGGCAGTACATGACTATGGTCCCAGCTATTCAGGAGGCCGAGGTAGGAGGATCACTTCGCTTGGGCCTGGGAAGTTGAGGCTGCAGTGAGCCGTAATTGGGCCTCTGCACTCAAGCCTGGACAACAGAGAGACCCTGTCTCAAAGAAAGATAAATTTTAAAAAAGATGCAAAAGACAATAAAATGGCAGAGTGCTGGAAAGCAAAGAAAGAGAGCAGACTACAAAGCTACAAGTAAATATGCAAGATGTAGACAAATTTTCAGGACCAAAAAGAGGGCAAATACCACAGCCCAAAATATCAGATGGAAGAGAGAATTTTCCTGAAGACGCCTCTGGAGAAGCTCTACACCCAACAAATTCAAAGTACTGGAGAGGGAGGAGCTGCACCCCAGTTCCAGCCCTGGCCTTGAAGAGGACGGACAGCTTCCACTTCCTTCCTCTGGAAACTCTCAGTCCCAGTTGTCATGCTGTGGAAAGCAGAAGCCACATAGAAGGGCCAACTGAGGGTCCTCCAGCCAACAGTCAGCATCTCTGCCAGCACTGGAGGAAGCCATCAGAATAGTGCCACCCAGTGGAAAACCCTGATGAGTTCAGAAGCATCCCACATCACTGGGGACAGAAAACTGGCCCAACTGAGCCCAGTTAACGCACAGAATCATTGGAGATAGTAAAACAAATGGGCATTGCTTTATGCCACTAAGTTTTATGATTATTACATAGCATACACAACCAAAACAAAGGCCCTGGGGCAATCATAAGTTATTCAAGAATGTCATGGAATGTTTGGGCCAGTTTAACTCTATCCCCCTTTTTCCCCTTCTTTCTCCTTCCCCCTTCTTTCTCTCTTCCCTTCCATGGAGCTTTTGAAGATAGATTTCTATTTTTAGTCTTATTAGCATCAAAGTGGGAAAAGGCAAAAAGGTTTCTCCTGACATGTAGGAATTTAAAA